AGGATAGAGGCCTAGTGCACAGGTGGAGGCCAGCTGGTTTGCCCTGAAGGGTGTCCTGGATCAGGGTGGGGGTCCCACTGGGGTGCCTGGCTAGTCTGGATGAGGGGCTGAGGGCTGTTTTCAGGCTGGCCAAGCTGGCGATGGAAGCTCCCAGCCTCTCCATTTTTTTCTTTTTTCTTTTTTTAATTCTGGGATTTATTTACCTTCTATAATTGAAACTTTGTTGCCGCTCCAGCTCCGAGGCCAGGGCCTGCTGAAAGCAGGTATCTGGGGTTTGTTTAGCTTCTATAATTGCAACTTTATTGCTTAGAGTGGAACTCAGAGACCGGCCACAGCAGGGAAGAAGCTTGGCTTCCTCCATCACTGGAGCAAGCAAGCCTCCTGCTTGCTTCAGCTGCATGGCTGCCAGCCACCATCTTGGTTGGGTTAATTTGCATATCCTGCTGATTAGCCAATGGGAAGCATAGCGGAGGTATGGTCAATTACCATGTTGCTCTATTATTAGATTAGATACTCTTCCAAGGTTCACTTTTATAAGAATCTGTAAGAAGCTTCCTCTACCTTTCTTTAAAGGAGACCCAAAAGTTAAAAGAATCATACAGTATTGTGACTATCACTCTAAATACTTAGCTTTGCTTGCCTCTAAGAATCTTATAAGAAGGGTATCTGCCTTAATTCTATTTCAGTCTATCATTGTTTCCCAACATTCCCAAGAAGCAGGTTGACTCATGAATAGCCTACTGAGGTGACTTTTATAGAATGATGCTATCCAATAAAAATATAATGTGAGCCACAAATGCAAGCCATATTTGTATGTATTTAAAAATTTTTTAATATGCACAATAAAATTGGAAAACAGGTAAAACTAATTTTATGAATATATTTTATTTAACCCAACATATCTAAATATTGTTACTTCAACACATTAATATAAAATATTAATGAGATATTTTATTGATACCAACTTTTCAAAATCCAGTGTGTATTTTAACTCACAGAACTTGTCAATTTGGACAGCCATATTTCAAATTATCACTAACCACATGTGGCTGTTGGTTTGCATTTTGGACAGTACAGCTCTAGACGATATCAGAAGCACTAGGTCTTGACCCAATGACCCTGACCCAGAAGAACTTAGGCATATTAACATTCCCATGCATCTCGGTTGCCTCATCTGGGAGTTCACTCATTGACATCTATGTTTTAGGCATGGTGGTAGGCATAGGCTTGGTGAGGTCTTACCATAATAATCTCTTTTAAAAAAAGTCTTTCTCCTTAACTCGTCTTATGATCTCTAAAAAGTGTTAGAGAAGAACATAAGATCATTAAAAAGAAAAGGACACCATCTCTGTTTTAACTTGTGTCTCCTAAACCACCTACATTTTGAAATGCATAATCGTTTTTCATGTCCTACAACATCCAGAAACACAATGATTTCAAATAAGCTCTCTCGCCTCTACTAGTTTCCTGCTAGCTTTATTATTTGGCTGAAGCATTTCAGATGAAAGTTAATCTTCCTTTCTTCTATTTTACTTCAGTAACTTCTCAGTTCTGTGTTGAAGTTAATTTCATACTACTCCCTTCTTCCAACTCTGAATCAATGTGTACTCCAGGCAGGAAACTCACTTTAGCTCTGGATGAGACCTCTCCCTTGAGACTGTCTTCAGAAAGGATGGCAGCTTTGGAGTTTCAGGAAATTCACGAGGAATAAAGAGAAATGAGGTTACAAGGCAGACACTAGAAGTAAGAAAACAGTAATGATCAATGATGAGGCAAACATGCCTGTCAAAATGAAACTTAAGTGGAGAGAATTATCAGGGAGGGAGGCTGCCACCTCCTGTCCATTTCCAAGGGACTCCAAGTACCAGCCAAGGCTCCCTTAATTGAGTAAAATGACAATCAGGCATGGCACTGAAACAGAGATGACTTTTATAAATAGGGCTGATAGCAGAATTTTTCCAACTTCTGATTGCTGTCTGGCTATGGTTCCACCTTAGAAAAATTCTTTCCTTAGAGTGCCAAATTCACAAGATGATTTTGCCCAACTCGGTGCCGCCATATTTTCTGAATCTCTTAAAATAGAATTGAATCATAATTTAGAGAAAGGATCCAGCATGCAAAAATGGATGGGCACATGGGATGAGGCCAAGTTTGTGAGATGCATTTGCCCCATGAATAGTGAAATCTTCTCTCTTAAATCTGAAAATGTTACTGAAGCACAGCTTTTGAAATTGAAGTAAGACTCTTCTCATAGTAGTTTGCTTTTGGGAAATGGAAATATTAGATGCTTGTTAACTCTGTCAATTTGGTGCCTCCACCCAAAAGGAAAATTCTGTCTACTCTCCCAGTCTACCCCTCTATCATGCTACATATCTCTCTCTCTCTCTCTCTCTCCTCTCTCTCTCTCTCTCTCTCTCTCTCTCTCTCTCTCACACACACACACACACACACACACACACACACACACACACTTCAGCATTTGAATCACCACTACATAGCTAAAACTTGAGAAGAAAGATTACATGTAGAGTTTGTTCATGTCCTGTGATAATGGTCTAAATGGGTTCAGTCACCTTCTCTATCTCACTGCTAAAGACACAAGGCCTTACAAGTAAGCTCTCTCAGTGACTCAGAGCAGTCTGAGAAAACATTGTTATCTTAGAAAACATTGCAGGGTTCAAGGGCTTTCAGAAGGGAAATGGTGGCAGGATCAGGAGCCCTGCTGCTCTATTGCCTTGGGCTGGTCACCACTGGGGAGAAAGCTTCAAATCCTGCCAAAGGAGTTAGTGAAAATGCTCAATTCTGTGAAGATGATAGCAGAAAAGACTTTGTAATCTTGCTGCTATCCCTGACATCCTACTGTTTCTATGTGGCTGATGTGAGGCACACCCTGCCTATTCATGGGTGCCCCAGGCATGGTAACTAGCATATTGCAAACTCATCCTGTGGTGATTCAATGATGAACCACCTGCAACAGACAGTCCTCAATAGCCAGTTTCCTGTGAGGGCTCAGCAAATCCTCTCATGGTCACACTCCCTTCCTAGAGTGGCCCCCATCGTATGACTGATTGATTATGAGTTATAATGGCTCAGCAGTATTGGCCCAACTCAGGAAAACTATGAACGGTCATCCTTTGGGGCCAGATAAGCTTTGTTGAGACTATATAATAGCTCAACTTCACCCTCTGCCCAATTTTTCCCACAGGTATTAATCCTAAGAGCATGCCTAGGAAATGTCTTATCTGCTGAATACTTGCCATGTGCCTGGCACTATGCCCAGTGCTGGCAATGCAGACATGGAAGGCACCATCCCTGGGCCAAGGAGTTCACCATCTATTCCAGAGAGAAGCAAGTAAACATGCACTTAGACTGTACTGTGGCCAGTGATATGACAGAAATTAAGTATGGGGCGTACCTATGAGGGTCATTCAACCTAGCCTGGGAGCAGATTATAACAGGGGTTGTAACAGCAATGAGAGGGTCAGGGAACACTTCTCAGAAAGGTGAGGTCTGAGCCCAGTCCTAGAGCACTGCCAGTTGTTAACCAGGTGTATTGGTTTCCTTTTGAAGCTGTAACAAATTATTACAAACTCAGGGGCTTAAAACAACACAAATTTTCTCTCATAATTCTAGTGGTCAGACACCGAAAGCCAGTTTTACTAAGCTAAAGACAAGATGTCAACAAGGCTGGATCCTTCTGTAAGTTATAGGATAGAATTTGTTTCCTTGCTTCTTCCAGCCTTTAGAGGCTGCCCACATTTTTTGGCTTGTAGCCTCTTCTTCCATCTTCAAAGCCAGCAGCACAGCATCTCTTCTTGATCTTCCTGCCCCTCCCTTGTAAATCCCCTTGTTTGGGATGACATTGGCCCACTCTGTAAAGTGACATATTCCCATGTTTCAGGGATTAAGATGTAGACACCTTCAGGGAGGGATTATGCAACCTCCTATACCAATGACATGCCCGAATCAACATTCCAGGCAGAGGGTTGAACATGTGCAAGGACAAGGAGGTATGGCCCAGTGTCACTGGGGCATCTCCAGGTAATTCATAAGGTGGAAGCATAAGTTTCAAGAGAGGCATGTCAGGAAGAGATCAAGCTGGACAGAGATGCAGGGTTGCCGGATCATTTAGGACATTGTATTTTAAGCTTGACTTACACTTAATTACATATGTGGCTTACCTCCCTATTTGCATATGAGCACCTGAGGTCAGGATTTGGGTCCCTGTCTTCTTGATGCCACCACAGGTCTGGCTCAGTGACTGGCACAGAGCAAGAACTCAGCACATGTGTGTGACATCAACAAATGCCAGCTTTGCCCTGCTATTAGACCATAGTGTCTGAGTAATCTGAGCCAAGAACAAAAGTCCCCAGAGCCTGGCTGGCATGATCCTGTGCAACTTCGTCTTGGCAGTGTGACTGGCCTGCTGGCAGGGGCGTTTCCTGAGCCAGCAGTGTGTGTGGCACCAGTGGGAGAAGGCTTTTTAGAGTGTCCGTGATAAAACCGGCAAAATGGTCACTGTGAAAGTTGGAAAGTGGGTCCATGAGAGCTTACTATGCTCTTCTCTCTACTGAATATTTCCATAATTAAGTTTTAAAAAGGCTACATGAGCAGAGGTGAGATGCACATAGCATCCTACAAAGGGCAACAGGCACCAAAATGGGAGTGAAGTCTGTAGTTGAGCCCAGACCAGGGTTAAAAGGGATGAAGGCTAAAGGCTCGTGTCCATAACTTAATGAGGTAACATCTGTGCTGGTGCTTCATCAACTGTCGAGTTCTGCAGATCCTTGAGGGGCTTTTCCTCAAAAGGTTAAGTTAACACAAACATTTGCTCAGAATTTAGGCCATTTTCCAATCTTTCATGGAATAAATGAGTTGAATTTCCTTCCCATCAGGAAGCTCAGGGCCCACTGAAATAATGCCTTCTCCACGCAGCCTTCCCTTTGACACCCTCCATTTAAGATATGCTGGTTTCCTCCCATCTCTGCCCTTCACCCCAGACGCTGAAGGACGCCAGCGACAATGCGCGCAAGGACTTCCACCGAGAGGCCGAGCTGCTGACCAACCTCCAGCACGAACACATTGTCAAGTTCTACGGTGTCTGCGTGGAGGGCGACCCGCTCATCATGGTCTTTGAGTACATGAAGCACGGGGACCTCAACAAGTTCCTCAGGTACAGTGCGGCGGGAGGGCGAGGCAGGAGTGGGCCTTCGGGGTTCAGGCAGCCTGAGGTGGAACCCCTGAAGTCCTGTCTGGCTCCAACGTGCTGTTTTCTTTCCAAGAAAGCTGCCCCTCAGCTTTTCAAGATTAGCAAACGTGCAGCCTGGGATTTCTTGGTAGAGGGTGTCACTTAGGAGAAACAGGAAGGGTGTAAGGGGCAGGCAACCAAGTTGCACCTGCCCTTGCTGGCCTCAGTTTCCTTACTAGTAAAAGGGATGTGTTTATATCAACAAAAAGGACTACTGTCAGGACTATTGGGATGGGAGGTGATTAATAAATCTTGTCCCCATGCCCTTATTCCCGGCCAATTTTCCTGGGATGTTTATTATGTCTTCCGTGTTATGGCAATACCTATACCTCTGTTCTCTGGATTCTGTGGGCCCTGGGGGGCTTTTCACCAGAAGTCGGTACCAGTAGCTTCATGCAGCCACTAGAAGATTCAGAAACCATGTAGTCTAAGTAATAAGGCAATTGTGGAGAGAGCAGTGGAAGGGGGAGCTTGTACTGCTGTGTTTGGAAATGTCATCACGTGGCCATCGGATTACTTTCACCATCTCTAGCCTCATGAATACATGTGGAACTAAGTTCTCTTTGGCTGGGACAAATCTTTCTCTGATTTGCCTCTGATTGTGTGGGTGATGGAGATTAGGAATATGGAGCCAATTCATGGTGTTCAGAGACAATCACCCTAAGAATGTGTTATCCAATATCAGCAAAGGTTTTCTTGTAGGTGATAGGAGAGTGGATGATGGTAGATTTTACACATTTTCTTATTGGACCTAATATGAATAAGGAGCTGAATTTTGCTGAGGTCCAGCTGCACATTGGAAAAATATTTTTCCTTGTTCCCATGCTCTAGGCTACTTGTTTAATTAAAAATGGTGCTTTCCATAAATTGTAGCATAATAAATCCACATGTACCCATTAGATGTAATTAAATGCTTCTGTGAGCTCAGACTGCGCATGTGCGTGTAAGCACACTCGTGTGTGTGTGTGTGTGTGTGTGTGTGTGTGTGTGTGTGTGTGTATTCTTTCACTTTTGGCTCCATTGGCCTCTCCCTACCTCTCCTTCCTGCCTCCCAGAAGGAGCAGGCACCTGGTTCTTCCTTGGCATCTTGCCCAGGGCATGAAGCTATTGGAAACCTCCTCCTCTCAATTTTAGAACCTGCTGAACTCTGGGAATGAGAGGTTTTCCATGCCAAGGATCAGGTTCTTAGGTGCAATACTGTGCTGTGAACAGTCTATCCTCTCTTTCTGGAAGGAAACCCAGCCTTCACACTGCCATGAATGTGTTCCCAAGTGTCATTGGCACTGCCCTATGAAGACAGATGCTTACAGTTATCTTCCCACCCTTTTCATTCAGCCAAAGGGCACCCATTCAGTAGCAACATGGTCAGGCCCTATGCTAGGTTGGCTAGTGGGTGACAGGGCTGGAATTCAAACCCACAGCCTCTGGCTGCAAAACGCCCAGTTTTTCACCATTGCAATACCTCCTCTTGAGGTTGTGCTAAAAGATCAGAAGAAAGCAGTGTGCTATGGAATTCCTCAGCCAGAACAATGTGGCTAAGTGCTGGCTGTGACCCACACGGGGAGCGTACAAGCCGAGGAAGGTGAGAAGCCTGTTGAACCTCCCCGCTCTCCACAATGGGGCGGAGGTGTTGATGGTGCTTTTTCCCTCTTAAATCATGTTCTCATGGAAGAGATGAGCTATGTTTTTATTTCAAAGAATTGCAGGATAGCCTGGGGAATGAAACAGAGGGCTGTTGTGCTAACTTTATAGTCTTCTTAAGAACTTGTTTAGAAGACTCACCTGCCCTCTATTCACAGCAGGACTTTCTGCTCAAGGAAAGCATCCACAGGATTTTCTCACTAGGAGGAGCCTTGTTCCAATCCCTAGAAGCAAGCAGGCACCTGCCCTACCCCGCACATGGTAGTGTAGCGTGCAGAAGCCTTTGGCGGGCGCCTCCGCCTTCTGCATGTGAGGGTGGAGGCTGGGGTTTTGCACAGAGGTAGCCTTTTGCACTCGCCTCACATTTTTCCTTTTCCCCCAAGTCTTTGCAATGGACAGATTCTTAGCGGAATCTCAGCTGTGGCAAAACAGCAACTTATTTCACTCTTTGCACTACATCTATGAAGATTTCATCCTGGCCTAGCTTTTCTGGGTATTTCAGGATTTCTCATAGCCTGTGTGCTCCCCTAGGGCCTTCTCCTGGTATGGAGGTCACATAAGAGCTTTGACTCCTATGATGGGTGGAAACATTCATATTTTTCCCTGCCTCTTAGTGCTGGGAAGGGTTGGGCTTGAGTAACCTTCAGTGAGGTGGGAAGGGCCAGCGCTATGGAATCCCTAAGAATGCTGGCACTGGCAACCACAAAAAGGAATGTCCAAAGGACAAGTTGTGCTGTCACGTCACCTCTCCATTTCTTTTTGAAGAGGAACCTGCTTACAGAGTCTTTCTCTATGGCTTTTTAAAAATTATTAAATGTATTGGGGTGGCATTGGTCAATAAAATTATATAGGTTTCAAGTGGAAAATTTGAGAATACATCATCTGTATATTGTATGGTGTGCTTGCCACCCAAAGTCAAATCCTTTTCTGTCATCATATATTTGACCCCCTTTACTCTTTACGTAAAGATTAAAGGAGGCAAAAACATGGAGAAAGAGGAGACAATAGCTACTGCTACTTGGAAATGAGCTCACGGCATAAATAGGAATAATTTGTGACGATAAACACATAACAGGGGAGGGGCATAGGCCTCTCGGGCTTCTCAATGAAAGGCCCCAAAGCACCACACAAGCAGAGTTTCAATTGCTCCTCCCATGGGGTGCTTAGGAAGGTGCAGTCGCTAGCTCCACTTTCCAGGTGAGAAGCAGGTCCAGAGAGGCTCAGTAGCTCACTGAGGTCATAGCCAGTGTGTTAGAACAGGGTTCAAGTTCAGTTCTGATACCCAGAGCCTTGCCCACTGCACTGCAGGACGGTTTGCTCCAGTGAGAGATTTTGAGCTGAAGAGACCCCTGAGGCATTTCCCCTGTATTGCTCCCCAGTGTGACAAGAGGAGGTCGGGGGCTGTGGTTTGAGTGGAGGTGAAATAAATGTGCTAAGACTTGTCTTGTACAAAAACAGGAAGCTCCTCCCCAGGAATGGGTCGATCAGATATTTACTAGTAGAGATAGAGGGGACCTCAACGATCACATGGCATCATGTCGTTTTGTAGTTCTGACTAATGGGGGAATCACACACTGGAAAAGTTAAAAGCCTTCCCCAGACCATGGTGCTGGACACCCCAAAGACTGGGAAACTCCCCACCTCCCTGTCCAGTGCTTGTTCTCTGAGAATACAAGAACGGAAAATCAGATGACAGCATGTTTTGGAAATCAAGGAAAGGCGGAATGGCTGTGGGCTGGAGCCCTGCTGGAGCAGGGTAAATAAATGCCTGTGCTTGAGAAGCTCATCCTACCTGGGGTGGTGCTGGCGGGTAAGGGGGGGGGGGCAACACCAGATGGGGGTTGTTGGAGAATCCTGGCTCTCTCATTTTCAAATCCTCATACTGCTCTGGAACCCTGCAGGTCCATTCACCACTTTAAAATTCATTTTAAATCCTCTATTATTTATTTTAAGTTCTTCAACGTGTCTGGAAAGAGATGTCATTGGCATGGACTTTGGGAGGGAGAAGCCCTTGACCAAGCCTTTATTCCTTGCCCCCTCAGGCCACCAGGGCCTGTGACACCAATGTTGGCTCAACACGCAGGGTTAGAATGGGGACTGCAGGGACTGATTGCATATCCTAGGAGCGGAGGCACTCCCTGAAACACCTATCAGTGTTGCAATGCCTTAAATCAGCGATGTTTAACCACCGTGGCAGGCACACTGGTGGGCAGCAAGAATTTTTAAAACATGCATACCTGATTATTTAGTCAAAGGCACTGACTTCCCTTACATTGTCAAATAAAAAATAGCAACAGCCAACACAAGAGCCATGTGGTGTGAATGAGTCAAAATTATACCTATTTCTTTTGTCAGATCGGCAAAAAAGTATATTTTCCGGTTCATTGCAGAATTTTAATAATTAGTTTATGTGTGCCATGAGATGAAAAAGGTTGAAAATTCCTGCCTTAAATCATTCCTGGGAAAAGATAGGAGAAAGAGAAGACAAAAAAATCATACTCCCCCCGCCCCCCCCCCCAAAAAATATATATATATATATAAAGAAGAAAACTTGTCAGTAAAAGAATGAATGTGTTGTGATTCAAAGAATTTTGCCTATGTGGTGGCCAGTGTGTGCTTTGAGCTGGAGATCAGGGGGAAGGGTGGGCACAGGAGGTGGCACTGTTCATGGGGAATGAATGTACAGGCTGAGGATGCCCTGGGATTCTGATGACTTGGGCTTACTAAGATGAGGGCAGCTTGGAAACCATGCCCAGCTGAAGAGCAGGTGGGATCAGGGAGACCAGAGTTGCCAGCTCTGGCCCTGGTGGGGCACTCTGGAGGGATTGCCCTGGGTGTGTGTGGGGGGCGGGGGGGTGGGGGGCGGAGTGCCGGGCTGCAGCATGTGGCTGGGAGGGATGGAAGGTGTGGGCTCAATGATCCATTGCTCTAGAAGAGCCAAACTCTCCCACCTGATTGTGATTTTGTTGTTGGGTTCTTGTTTGTTTTGCTTCAGCCACCTACTGCTTTTCGGAGTCAGGGGACTACTTCTGAAGCCCCTAAAACATGAACCTATCTATATGTTGGGGGTGAGGGGTACCACTCAGGCCCACGTGGCCCTGGAATTCTGGACTCTGTGGGAATGAAAGCCTGGGTGCTTTTGAAGTATAACCATGGGTGAAGTATCTTTTCCTCCTCTGCGTGCTAAGTCAGGCGGCGTCTGTTAGCACCAGTAGCTGATGGGGGCAAAGAGCCCCTCCAGGCAAAGAATTCCCCCCAGCAACTCCTTCTGTGACCTCCACAGGGCACACGGACCTGACGCCGTGCTGATGGCTGAAGGCAACCCGCCGGCGGAGCTGACACAGTCGCAGATGCTGCACATTGCCCAGCAAATCGCAGCGGGCATGGTGTACCTGGCATCCCAGCACTTCGTGCACCGAGACCTGGCCACCCGGAACTGCCTGGTCGGGGAGAACCTCCTGGTGAAAATCGGGGACTTTGGCATGTCCCGGGATGTGTACAGCACTGACTACTATAGGGTGAGTGGCTGCACCCCCAGGACCCTGGGGCCTGGTTATAGTATTTGCTCGGGCTGCCATAACAAAATACCATGGACGATGTGGCTTAAACAACTGAAGTTTATTTTCTCCAAGTCCAAGATTAAGGCAGCTGCAGGATTGATTTATTCTAAGGTTTCTCTCCTTGACTTTCAGACAGCGCCTTTCCTCTGTGTCCTCCCCTGGTTTTCCTCTGTGCATGCACCCCCTCCCCCCCAACCGGGGTCTCCGTGTGGCTAAATTTCCTCTCCTTATGTGAATACCAGTTAGACTAGATTAGGGCATCATTTTAACTCAATCACCTCCTTAAGGCCCCATCTCCAAGTACAGCCATATTCTGCGGTACTGAGGAGAGCACTGTTCGGTCTACAACATTCTCCTGCTCCTCCCGCACTTCTCAGGTGTGTGGTCTCTCCCTGAGGGCAATCCTCAGCCTGAGAATTTTACCAGGGAAACCTGAGGGCCTGGGAATTCCTAAGGGCATGAGGTTAAAGGATTTTGAGGTTTGCACTTGATTCTGTGAAATTATGTCTGAAGGCTTTGTTTGAGGTTTGACCTAAGATGAACTTGTTCATGGAAATAATGGTACCTCAGACCTTGGAAATTCCCCCACGGACCCATCTTGGTTGAAAGTGGATTAGCTGGTGGTGTCACTGTGAGATGCAAGAAGCACCATCCTGCAGGTTTCTGAAGAGCCCCACCCAGTCCAGAAGCTGTAGCAGGGGTCCTCAAACTTTTTAAACAGGGGGCCAGTTCACTGTCCCTCAGACTGTTGGAGGGCCAGACTATAGTTTAAAAAAAAAACTATGAACAAATTCCTGTGCACACTGCACATATCTTATTTTGAAGTAAAAAAACAAAATGGGAACAAATACAATAATTGTATCTGCATGTGGCCCGCCGGCTGTAGTTTGAGGACCCCTGCTCTAAGGGGTCGAGTTATAGACAATCATTCAAATCCACCGATTACCAGCAATTGGCCCCTATGGCATTTTAGATTTGCTAACTGAGATCTTGGGACCTGGGTCTGAGAAAAAAGGGATACTTCTGGAAACCTCGAAGTCCTGATACTGAAAGCAAAGGTTCAGGTGGTGTTCTACCACCTCAAAGCCTCAATTCTGTTTTCTTGTTTTTCTGGAATTTCAAGGGTAGAAGAAGAGAATAGGAAGGAAAGGGAGTAAATGTGCTGTGTGTATATAGCCTAAGACAGTGGTTCTCAACCTTCCTAATGCCGCAACCCTTTAATACAGTTCCTCATGTTGTGGTGACCCCCAACCATAAAATTATTTTCGTTACTACTTCATAACTGTAATTTTGCTACTGTTATGAATCGTATTGTAAATATCTGATATGCAGGATGTATTTAGGCGACCCCTGTGAAAGGGTCGTTCGACCCCCAAAGGGGTCGCGACCCACAGGTTGAGAACCGCTGGCCTAAGAGGATAAAATGGATAATGTGACTAACTTTCATAATAAGGTAGGGCTGGTGAAGAAAAGGCCTCTCCTCACCTTTACTCTTCCCTTGATGATTCATTCGTGAGGAGGAGCCTTCTCAGTTTGTTTCCTGTAGTTCTCTCTGCAGCCTGACTCACCTCCAATGCCTCTGCACTTTAGCTGAGCCAACTTTGCTACAATTAGTCTAAGACAGCGATTTTCAACCTGTGTGACACAGCATAGTGGAGTGCCCCAAGAACTTTTCAAATATGCAGTACCTGACTCTGTAGTCAGGGGCACTGACCTCTTTTCCCTTAGATTGTCAAATAAAAATTAACAACAGCCAACACAACAATATCCATGTGATATGATGAATCAAAATTACACTTTTTTTTGTCAGATTGGCAAAGAATATAATATATATTTTTGGTGTGCAACAGAATTTTAGTAATTAGTTTATGTGTGCCATGAGATGAACAAGGTTGAAATTCACTGGTCTAAGACAATGAGTTTATGGTCTTGGTGTATATTCTTCTGTAGATATTTTTTGTGGTGTGTTATTTTTTTCCTTTGTCACCTCCATAGGCATTGTCCACATTTTGTATAGCAAGGAGTGGAGGCCAAAATTAAAAATGATTATCTTGAGTGTATTTGTAGAAAACATGAGCATAGTCTCAACTTCAAGCGTTCAGAGTGTAGCTTCAAAGCACCTGTCCTGAGTTTAGGGACGGCTAGTTTGATCTAGATATCTTAAATGGGGGAGTGGGGTGTTATTACCAATGGATGCATCTCCTCTGTTAGCTCTGCTTCTTTGGTGGTAGGTGGGGGTAGGAGCCTCTCCCTGTTCCCTTTAGTGGTGCTTCCCAAAGGGAAAGCTTTGCTGAGCTTGATGAGCATCTAAGGGAAAAACACATGGCCCAAGCAACAGCTTTCTCTTTAGCAGGAAGTTAACCAAGGTCTCAGAGTGTCTGGCACAAAATAAGTGCCCAATAAATGTTTTCAACTATATCATTATCCAAATCGATTATCCACCCAATTAAAAAATTGGCAAAGGATTGAAGTAGAGATGTCTCCAAAGAAAATACACAAATGGCCAATAAGCACATGAATCGATGCTCAATATCATTAGTCATTTGGGAAATGTAAATCAAAACCACAATGAGCTACCACTTTATACCCCCTGGGATGGCTGTAATAAAAAGACAGACAAAAACAAGTGTTAATGGGGATGTGGAGAAATTGGAACCCTTATAAACTGCTGGTGGGAATGTAAAATGGTGCAACTGCTTTGGAAAACAGTTTGGCAGTTCTTCAAAATGTTCAACATAGAGTCACCATATAACCCAGCAATTCCATTCCTAGGTATACACCCAAGAGAATTGAAATCATATATTCACACAAAAACTTGTACACAGTGGAAACAACAACATTATTCATAATAGCTATAAAGTGAAAATAATTGAAGTGTCCATTGATTGATAATTAAACAAAAATTCATAGTTTATACAGTGGAATATTATTTATTAATTAAAAGGAATGAAGTACTGATTCATGCTACAATATGGATGAACCTTGCAATTACTATGGAAAGTAAAAGAAGCCAGACACAAAAGATCACATATTGTATGATTTCAATTTATATAAAATGTCCAGAATAGGCAAATCTATAGGGACAGAAGGTAGGCTAGTAGTTGCCAGGGGTTAGGGCAATGAAGAATGAGGAATGACAGCTAGTGGATATGGACTTCCTTTATGGGATGATAAATTTTTTCTAGAATTGTATAGTGGTTATTTAGTGTATTTGAAAATACACTAAAAACCATTGAATGTGTACATTTAAAGAGTAAATATTATGGTATATAAATTATATCCCAATTTTTAAAAACCTGAAAAAGGAAAATACTAGCCAAATAGCGACATGGGATATAAGGAGTTAGTCTTGGTCATTTATATATTATAAAAGCACTGTCACTTGTCACATACCATATTTTATCATTTGTTAAAAAGAAAACCCTCCACTTAGATGACATATTCCTGAAGTACTTCCTTCTGAATTGATTGGAGAAAAGAATAATTCCCAGTTCCTTTATCTCTTAAATGTTCTTGGAACTCTCCCAGTCATTAAGAAATGTGTTTCTGGTGCCACTTTATTCAGTCCTTCTGCCCCCCACTAGTTGCAGCTGCAGGGTTTGTAATGTTCACTTGGTTGTTTGTTGTTCCCGCTGAGGAGAAGGAAAAGAACCAGCCTTATGTTAGCTCAGTTAAGGTGGGAAAAGTGGGTGAGGGAATGTAAGATCTGGCAATGTGATAGTAGCCTAGGAAAACAAAAAAAGTAACCTCTCAAATTTCAAAATGATGGTTTGCCTTTTGGTTCCATGAAAGTATTTATCATCATGGAACTCCTTTGCAGAATTTTTTTTTTTGTCTTATTAAAACATCAAAAGCAGCCCAGCTGGCGTGGCTCAGTAGTTGAGCATCGACTTAAGAACCAGGAGGTCAGGGTTTGATTCCTGGTCAGGGTTCATGTCCAGGTTGTGGGCTGATCCCCAGGAGGGGGCTTGCAGGAGGCAGCCAATCGATGATTCTTTCTCATCATTGATATTTCTATCTTTCTCTCCCTTCCTCTCTGAAATCAACAAAAAAAATTAAACAAAAAACAAACAAACAAACACCAAAAGCATATCAGTGGAGTCCATGCCATTGAGTTTGTCAGATAGACAAGCAGAGGCTGTTGCTGTGTTTGCAGGTGAACTCCAGAACATCTCACAGCAGCTATTTGCCAGAACACTTTTGGCTTTCACATTAGTTATTTACCTGTTGCATCATCTATAAGCTTGGCATTCAACCCCTCCCCACCAGGGTGCCTCTTCATCTTCTCTGTTGTAGCAACTGGGAAATGTGTTCTCCTTACAGTTCGGGTTTCTCATTTGCAGACACCTTTTCTTCTTATTCTCCTCTGGTCTTCACTCTCCAAGGTGACAAGCTGCTGTAGCTGATGTGGCTGGTCCTTAGCTATGCTAAATACCCTTTCCGCCATAGTAATGGGGGAGGATTTTCGTGTTAGCCAAGGGTATCTTATATAGAAGGATGGTGATTAGGCCTGGAGTCAAATTTATTGAGGAGTAACATTCCCCTTGTCTTTAAGCAAGAACCAGTCCCACTAGAAGCCCAAGCCTTCTGCTCATAGTGGCTCATGAGCAGCGTTGTGCGGTGGCCACAGCCCTGTGCAATCTGGGGCAGCAGGGGCAGGTGGCAGCTGTTCTTCCATCATGAAAACGGCTGCCTCAAGGCTTCCACCCTGTTGCAGCTGAGCTAATTATATCTTCCCAATGAAGGAAGAAATCGGAATGCTGCATTTGCATGGAAACCAGCCTGATTTGGTGGGTCCAAAATTACTCTAGCATTTATGTTCTCTGAATTGTTTTAATTAGCAGCTCTGCAGTACTTGTCTTTTATTTCGTTTTTATTCCTTCCCACCACTGGCAAAAACTGACATTTAAGAAACATCTGAACCAGGTTTCTGTCACATTCTGCCTATGACAGACCTA